ACCCCCCCCCCCCATTATCATGTTATGGTAAACTTCAGAAATCTTAAACATTATAAAATATTACTTCAAATTGGTTTCAAATGCTGTGTAAACTACAGGTAGTCCTCACTTAACAACAGTAACTGGAATTGGAAACTTGTTAAGTGACATACTAAGCCAAAAAACGGTGTGACTGCGCTGCTTAGCGATGGCAGTTCCAGCAGTCCCGGTTGCCATTGTTAAATGAGGACTATTCAGGTTGTTAAGTGCAGACCTCACATGACTCTGACTTGTAACTTCCTGCCAGCTTCCCCATTGACTTTGCTTGTTAGAAGCTGGCAGAGAAGGTCACAAATCACAATCATGTGACTGCAGAGACACTGCAATGGCCGTAAGTATGAGGACCAGTTGTAACTACCACTCATTCAGCACTGTTGCAAGTTTGAAATAGTCACTGAATGAGTGATCATTAAACAAGGACCACCTGTATAGTAACAGAATAGTCCATCATTCCACTTCCATTATGTCTTCACTGATTTCACTCAGAATTTAGGCTAATGACTGGATATTAATTTCTAAGAAAGAAAAAAAACTGCTGTCAATCTTAGTGCAATAAAATACACTGAGAATAGCTTTTACCAGCTTACACTAAGAAGCTTCAGGCAGTACTAACAATGTAAACTCTCCTAAATAGTCCCTTCTTTCTGCATCCCACTTGTTAGTTGAGAAGTCAATTTTATTCCCGACTTCTTGAACCACCTCTTTTAGTGGTATTCTCCACTTCCATAAAAATTCTATCTTGTTTTCTCTTTGGGTATGTGAATAGCCTAAATGTGCAAATTGAAGAACTTTTAAGAGCAGAAAGCTAGTTTATGACTTAAGAAAAGGAAAAATGTTCTACTTTCTTACACATGTTTTGTAAAGTGGGGAGGGGAACAATAAATCTCTTACTAGTGCTTATGTATGCAAGCAGCCATACTTTCTCATCATGTGGACCTGTCCATCTGCCTAGCAATCATACTGCTAAATTAAACTTTAAAATTTAATATTTGACTGCAAGTTTCCTCTCTAATTCCATGCATTGCTGAAACACTGCCAAGGCCAAGGTCATTTGCACTGACTGACGGATACATGCTAATACATCTGGGGTGGTGTATAATTTAAAGTCCAGAATAACTTGGTGTTCAGAACCTACTTCCATTCAAGATTCATGTTCCTGCTCAACATCACAGGGTTTGAAAGGAGAGAACCATTTGTTCTTGACACAATGAGGCTAAAGTAACGAGTTTGTTAAACAGTTTACTTTGTTACAATTTACAAACCTTGCATTTGACAAAATAGCCAAAAATACTGTGACATATAAAATGCCACTTAAATCCAACACTGTTACATTGCATTTCTGAGAATAAATCTCTGCTCTTTAGTAAGTTTTTCCTAATGCATATGACAGCTACTAGAGTTTTGTCATATGATTGTCCAGTAACAGTGATATACTGAAAGCGGAAAAGTATAACAAGTTAAGAGTATATAAAGCCATTTAAAATTTGCTATATATGTTGCCTGAGTCTTATATCAGTTTAATGCCAAAGCAATATAAGTAGCTTCCTGGGGTGCAGTGGGGATTTTGTAGTACAGCCGATTTGCGACTGGGATTGGATTATAGCAAGCCTATCCACTTCTTAGTTTTCTGACCCTATATAGGTATGCAGCCCACAACGTATTATTCAACATTTTAAAAGGAACCTAATGAAAAAGACAAGAAATTTTATATACTTCTTCTGCAGGTCTGGACAATGGGGTGATAGCTGTTGAAGCATGCTCGTCAAAGTAGTTGCATCTTTGTCTTGGACAAGGATATGAGATGGCAGCAGTGCAATTCACTCTTGAATCAAATGAATCTCTCCTGTTCTCCCACATTGGGGGGATATTTGCCATTCTGTTACCAGGTGCTAGATTGTCATCTTGACAGTTTTATTGTTTGTGGAGTTGTAAAGTAGGGAGCCTTTTGCTGAGCCAGGCTGGCTGAACTGCTTCATCCACTTATTAATCCCACTTCCAAAACCTCTGGTCTGAAGGTGAAATGAACTCTTCAAGGCAGATGTATTGCATGATCTTTAGTGTTTATGCCATACAAATAAACTTTTCTTCTCTTTTGACAAATAAATGAAATTGGGTGCATGAATCATTTGGTACGTGCCGTGGTAAGGACTGTAATTGTGAAAGCCTGTTAGATAAATAGCCAATTGTCTCCTCTGTTGTGAGAAAAAAAATGTTCACCTTAAATAAGAAACCAAAATGTTTGTAGACAAATGCAACAAGTATACATTTATTGGAATGTGTTACAGCAATCACTGGTTCCTCACCAACAAACTGCTGGAGAGAAAGCCCTGAATGAAACAACTCTACAGATTATATATGCTTGGGTTGTTACACTACAAAGAATAGATAAAAGGAATATTATAAACCAAATATAACCCTTATACTGGAATGCTTTTGACAGATAAACTGTTGGGATGATGTGAATGTTAGTATACACACTAGCAGAATCTGAGCCCTCTAGATGTACACCATGTACAATAAATAAAGAGGCAATTTAAACATTTCCAAGAATGATAGTGTTGTTATGGATTTCAAATGTTATTTCTCTAGAATTCCTGGGTAATACAGATCAGAACTGACAAACAGGAGTCACTGCTATTTATTTGTTAGGATTTATATTCTGCCTTTCTCCAGGAACTCAGGGTGGTGTATGTAGCACTTCATCCTCCAGTTTTCCCCCAATCAACAACCCTCTGAGGTAGGTTGAGCTGAGAGACTAACCCAAAGCCATCCACTGAGTTTCATGAGTGAGGGTGGGCTTGAACCTGGGTCTCCCCGGTCTTTGTCCATCAACTTAATTACTGCATTTCTGCAAGCATCTTTCTTCTAGAAGTACCAAAAAATAATAATGCACAATTGTGTACAGGGTAAGAACATTAGAAATATTTACCTTTTGTATCTTTCTTAAACGTTAGTATAAAACAGGTTAGCTGCAACTGACAAATATCAATGATTTGGATTAGTAACCATGCATAAGATACATAATCTTACAACTCCACACCACAAATGCCATTTCCAGGATTAAAAAACTAAAAAAATGTGGCACTTTCAAGGCCAACGCATTTATTATGAGAGAAACCATGCTTATTCCACCTACCTTTTAAGGACAATGGCACATCTGAACTTTGAAAAGCTGTTCTGGGTGCTCCCACAAATTACATACCATTGTAGGTATCACCTACAATGGCCTAGCACTCATTTCCCTTTTAAAAGTCTTTTTAAAAAGTAAATTGGTAACAAACTGGGTATAAGACAGGAATTTTAGATTCATGCCAAATTATGTCTCTCGGTGCAAAACATCAATTTATTTTACAACAAACAACTGAAATGGTAAATGGTGAAAGCAAGAACTAGTTAACTTGTAATTTTGGTTCTTTGAATAGTAACTGGTAAATCTTACTGATTGTATTTTAATTCAGAGGCCCTTCTGAAAGGATAACTCTGCTTAATTTTTCAGAAATATAAAACAAGAATTCCAAAACCTTTTTAAAAAGTAGCATTGATTGTGACAGAATTTAGTAAATTTTATAACATTTGCAAGCTGTTGCCTCTTCTGTAAAAATAAAAATTGCCTTCTTTTAGGTGCTATTTTTATGTGTGTGAAAAGAGAATTATTACAATTGGGTTTGTTAATAAAAGGTTTCCTCCCAATTTTGGTGAGCAATGTCTGTGAACACTGTTGTAGACAATGTCTAAGTAGCCTGCCAAATTATAAAAAGATAAATGGAAAGCACTGAAGAAGACAGTGAATCAAACAGCTTTGCTTATTGATTCTGTTCTCATTTAATATTTTTAAAAATACTTTGATGTACATTGTAACTGCAGTAGAGGAATAAGGCGCCCTCAGAGTCAAACCAGCCCCTCCTCTGAGGTAACTGCTCTTGTGGGTGAATGGCAACTGGGCAATCAGGTCTCCTTGCTCCCACCACCCCTTCATTATAAACCAGCTTCTCCCACACCAGCTCTCTGGGGAACCACGAGAGGGTTGAAGGGGAAATCCTCACCCACCCTGGGTCTGGCTAAATACAGAAAGGGGAACCAAATAAAAACTTAGGGAGTCTGTAGCTCAGCCAAACTGAGGTGGGTGCTAGAAGGCTTTCAGTCAACTCCAGGATTTAAACAAATAACTTTATTAAAGGTGCCAGAAGAATATAAGGTTTCACCTACAACATGCAGTTAAAAAAAGATAAAATACGAAAAACCCTAATACAGTTCTAACTAAACAAACTTTCAACCTTGCCTGAAGAAATCCTTTCATCCAGTACTTCACCCAACTTTCTCACAAAAGCCACCCAAAACTCTTCCTGCCCCAAACCTGACAGAACCCCCTTCTCTTTCATTGATTCTCAGGGGTCAGATGGCTCCTTCTGGGCACATAAAGCTGGCTTGTGATTTAAAGGACCAGCTGCTCCCCACTACACTTCCTCTTTTAAAATGAGAGGGGGGGGGGGGGGGAGTTAGGGAGACTGGTCTCCAGCACCCATGTCTCATCCTGAAGGGGCTGGAACATCATTTGCCTCTGCTGGGTTGGCACGTCTCATTAAACACCATGGCTTTTCTGTTGCAGTAAGGCTCATGTGTT